AAACAGAAGTGCAGTATCTGTGTGTGTGTGTGTGTGTGTGTGTACCTTGTAGACGTCCAGTATCCCGCACTGGTAGTCGAAGCGTGTGTACAGCTCGTTCAGCATGCTGATGACCTGCATCGGCGTACACTGCGCACACACTGCGGTGAAGCCCACGATGTCCGAGAACAGCATCGTCACGTCATCGAACTTCTTGGCCTGAACCGGGAGTCCCTGCCACAGCCTCTGAGCCACGTCTCCCGGGAAGATCGAGTACAGCAAGTCCACGGTCCTCCGCTTCTCCTCCTCTAGAGCCTGGTGCGTCTTCTCCAGCGTGGCTTTCAGTTTATCCATCCGCTTCTTCAGTCCATCCTGAGCTTTCGCCTGTTCGCCAACCTACACACGGCATCAGATATTACAGATATTCATTTACAGTGTTGTATGTATTGTAACTCATTACAAGTAACTTGAGTGTATAATCAGATTACTTTTTCAAGTAACTAGTAAAGTAACGCATTACTTTTTCAAGTAACTAGAACTAGCAAAGCAACACATTACTTTTTCAAGTAACTAGTAAAGCAACGCATTACCTTTTCAAGTAACTAGTAAAGTAACACATGTAACTAGTAAAGTAACACATTACTTTTTCAAGTAACTAGTAACTTTTTCAAGTAACTAGTAAAGCAACACATGACTTTTTCAAGTAACTAGTAAAGTAACACATTACCTTTTCAAGTAACTAGAACTAGTAAAGAAACATTACTTTTTCAAGTAACAAGTAAAGAAACATTACTTTTTCAAGTAACTAGTAAAGTAACACATTACCTTTTCAAGTAACTAGTAAAGTAACATATTACCTTTTCAAGTAACTAAAGTAACACATTACCTTTTCAAGTAACTAGTAAAATAACATTACTTTCAAGTAACTAGTAAAGTAACACATTACCTTTTCAAGTAACTAGTAAAGTAACACATTACCTTTTCAAGTAACTAGTAAAGTAACACATTACCTTTTCAAGTGACTAGTAAAGTAACACATTACCTTTATCAAGTAACTAAAGTAACACATTACCTTTTCAAGTAACTAGTAAAGTAACACATTACCTTTTCAAGTAACTAGTAAAGTAACGCATTACCTTTTCAAGTGACTAGTAAAGTAACACATTACCTTTTCAAGTGACTAGTAAAGTAACACATTACCTTTATCAAGTAACTAAAGTAACACATTACCTTTTCAAGTAACTAGTAAAGTAACACATTACCTTTTCAAGTAACTAGTAAAGTAACGCATTACCTTTTCAAGTAACTAGTAAAGTAACGCATTACCTTTTCAAGTAACTAGTAAAGTAACATTACTTTCAAGTAATTAGTAAAGTAACACATTACCTTTTCAAGTAACTAGTAAAATAACACATTACCTTTTCAAGTAACTAGTAAAGTAACACATTACCTTTTTAAGTAACTAGTAAAGTAACATTACTTTCAAGTAACTAGTAAAGTAACACATTACCTTTTCAAGTAACTAGTAAAATAACACATTACCTTTTCAAGTAACTAGTAAAGTAACGCATTACCTTTTCAAGTAACTAGTAAAGTAACACATTACCTTTTCAAGTAACTAGTAAAGTAACACATTGCCTTTTTAAGTAACTAGTAAAGTAACATTACTTTCAAGTAACTAGTAAAGTAACACATTACCTTTTCAAGCAACTAGTAAAGTAACACATTACCTTTTCAAGTAACTAGTAAAGTAACATTACTTTCAAGTAACTAGTAAAGTAACACATTACCTTTTCAAGTAACTAGTAAAGTAACGCATTACCTTTTCAAGTAACTAGTAAAGTAACACATTACCTTTTCAAGTAACTAGTAAAGTAACACATTGCCTTTTTAAGTAACTAGTAAAGTAACATTACTTTCAAGTAACTAGTAAAGTAACACATTACCTTTTCAAGCAACTAGTAAAGTAACACATTACCTTTTCAAGTAACTAGTAAAGTAACATTACTTTCAAGTAACTAGTAAAGTAACACATTACCTTTTCAAGTAACTAGTAAAGTAACACATTACCTTTTCAAGTAACTAGTAAAGTAACGCATAACTTTTGAAATTTACCACAAAATCCTGAGCTTTCGTCTGTTCGCTAACCTACACAAGTCATCAGTTATGATCAGTGTTAGGGGAAGTTACTTTTAGAAGTAATGCATTACAATATTGGGTTACTCCTGAAAAAGGTAACTAATTGCGTTACTTAGTTACTTTTTATGAAAAGTTACTAGTTTTGAGTTATTCCAGATATTCATTTCCAGTGTTGTGCGTAACTCATTACAAGTAACTTGAGTTGTGTAAACAGATTACTTTTCCAAGCAACTAGTAAAGTAATGCATTACTTTTTCAATTTACAACAAAATATCCAAGTTACTTTTTCAAATAAGTAACACTAGATACTTTTTCACATTTATTGACTGACAGCTCTCCTGTCCTCGTGTTGAGGGAAAAAAAAAGTGTGTGTGTGTGTGTGTGTGTGTGTGTGTGTGTGTGTGTGTGTGTGTGTGTGTGTGTGTGTGTGTGTGTGTGTGTGTGTGTGTGTGTGTGTGTGTGTGTGTGTGTGTGTGTGTGTGTGTGTGTGTGTGTGTGTGTGTGTGTGTGTGTGTGTGTGTGTGTGTGTGTGTGTGTGTGTGTGTGTGTGTGTGTGTGTGTGTGTACGATGGTTATTTTAGTTCTTGGCTAAATGTGAACATGCATTTACTCCTCTCACTTGCACGAAAACATTCAGTATTCCTCAAAATGAATAAAAACAGTAAAATGCAATCTCAGAATTTTACACAACTTTCATAATTAACTATATTAAATTACACAAATATACTTTATGTATTTAATCTCACTTTATTAACCAATGTCTTGATCTTGATCCACACTGCTGATCTTCAATGATCTAATTCAACCATACTAATAAGCAAAAATTAATCCAGAATAACAGCAGCTGAAAGGTTTATTTGAGCGGTTTCTACTGTACACGCGTAAATATGCATTTCCTTCAGCCTGAGGCTTATTCATTTAACTTTTGGTGTGAAAGGGCCTTAACATTTGCCAAAAATATCAATTTTATTGTTGTTATTAAAAAAGAAACAAGCAAGTCCAGCCCAGGTGAGAAAAAGTAACGCAAAAGTACTTTAAATAAAAAGCATAACTTTTCATTAAAAATAACGCAATTAGTCATTTTTTTGAGGAGTAACGCAATATTGTAATGCATTCATTTTAAAAGTAGCTTTCCCCAACACTGTTCATTTCATATCTATTTCAATTTTAGTTTTAGTAAACAATAACAACACTGACATCCAGAACTGGAACTATCGTGATTATAATACGTGACGGTAGGTGGATTTTACTAGGGATGTCCCGATCAGGTTTTTTTGCCCTGGAGTCCGAGTCATTTGATTTTGAGGTCTACCGATACCGAGTCCCGATCCGATACTTATATAATACATAAAAAAAATAATAAAGAAGAGAGAAAAAACAGATCCAGGATGTTCCTTTTTTTTTTTTTTTACCTTATTTTAACATTCAACAAGTCTGTTAACAAACAGAGCACTTCTGTGAGGTAGCTTGAACAATCAAGTAATAAATAACATAAAATCTTCACTTTTGGACTTTAGTGCAACAGTAAATATAGAAAAAGTCTAATAAAAACAAATAGCAGCTCAACTTAAAATACCCGGCAGGCATGTAAACAAAAAATAAAAATGTTTCCAAAGTGTATAAAAAAATGAAATGCCAGAGAAATTTCCTATTTATTAAAAGAAAAACTATTTTTAAATAAGTTTGAGTTTTCCTACATCTTGAAACTTTCAGGTTTATAAATGGGGGTAATCTTTGAAGGATGAACAAATAATGTTTTGGTAATCACATTAAAAATAACATTTAAATATATATTTATATATTATTTGAGTTTTGAAGTGTAACATTAAATCCATGTTCATTCACGGCACAATGTTTCTCCTGGTGTCCACGTCAGCGCTGTTTGATCTAATAGAGATCTACGGTTAATAACGGAGAAATGTGAATGCTTCTCACTAGATCTCGCAGCGATGTTATTACTTCAGTGGCGAATTCAAATGTTTTCTTCACCGGATCTCTTAGCACAGCGTCGCTTGATCTCGCGCTGTCTGAACTGATAAATCGTCCGTTAAGCACAATATAATGAGAAGCGCAGTTTCGTTCCGCTTTCATTACGTTTGCCATTTAATGTTGCGCAACGTTGTGGTGAGCGCGCCAGCGCTGATTTTGGCTGCAGGAAAAATGGTCCTAGGAATCGTTCGGGTTGGATGCGTACCGAACCGGAAGCCTCGTACCGAAACGGTTCAATAATTACGAATACATGTACCGTTACACCCCTAATTTACATATATCCGAGTCCTGATCGGGAGGTAACGTCCGATTCCGATCGAGTCTGAAACCACGTGATCGGGCCCGATTTCCGATCGCGTTATCGGATCGGGACATCCCTAGATTTTACCACAAGTGACCTGAAGCCAAAACAACAGCAATAGAAATATATATTACGAAAGGCACATACATTCAATAAATACTTTCATTTATTAATAATACTGATGACATTTCTTCCATCAATTAGTATAATTTAATAGCCTAACTGTAAAAGTGCAGGGTTGTTTCAACCCAACTTTGGGTCAAATATGGACAAACCCAGCCGTTGGGTTAAATTTTTTAATTAAAATTTGTAACCCAACGTTTGGGTTTGTCCTTATTTGACCCAAATTTGGGTTGAAACAACCCTGCATTTTTTTGAGTGTTGATGTTCACGACCGATGCATTGAAAGCCTAATGATGTCGTTTGAAACACCCACCAGAATTACATCACGTGTGGCGTCATGAATAGGGATGTCAGACAGATGTAAGCCCCGCCCCATGAGCTCCTCCAGCCTATCAACACGCGGCGAGCCCAGGAACATGATGGAGTTCGATTCAGGGAGGTGAAGCATCTGACCTTTGAGCTCCATCACCTGAAAAAGACACACACACACACACACACATACAAGGAAAGTAAAATGGAAAAGCAAATATGCGTATTATATTACAAATTCAATTTATTTGCTGAGAATTAATATTAATGCAATAAGCTCGATGAGTTGGTGTTGCTATGAAGACACTCGTATGAATATGTTTACATGTTTGTCAAGAAAAACAACAAAGCATATCGTATTTTAGTGCTGTATATTTCACATCTGAAACACACACACACACACACTCTCTCTCTCTTACTGGATCTCATCACTTCACTCGAAGAGAGAGAGAGAAAGAGTGAGGCTGTTCTTTTATTAGGATTCAGTTGCTATGGTGGAATTCTTTAACAACTATTCAATGTTCTTTGCATGTTTAATGAGAATATATCTAGAATATGCAATGAATGAATGAAGCGCTTAAATGTTATTTCAGTGTGTAACTCATCCTGTATAATTTGTGTTTTGCAACATGAGTCTTGGTAATGTATTAGATTATTAGATTTTGTAAATAAAACAAAGATTATTGGAGTAAGTTTATGTTACGTGTGTGTGTGTGTGTGTGTAGTTATGAACACATGAAACCTGACAGCAAAACTGCACAGTATTCAAGTATGTGTGCATCTGCTGGATTAAGGACACAGTCCTGTTATCGCCATAGAAACAGGGAAGTTTCAGAGTTATGAGTTGAAGTACAGAAGTGTACACACACACACACACACACACACACACACACACACACACACACACACACACACACACACACACACACACGGCCCAGTCTTGCAGCATACTGCATTATTTAAGCAGAACTCCCCAACTCTGCATAATACATCTACGCAGCCAGGACCGAGGCGATGAAACACACACACACACACACACACACACACACACACACGCATTTTCGTAAACATAATCACATTTCTTCATAATTAACTTTCTTTTGACATCCCAAATTCTCTTTTGTTTCTATCAGAGCATTTGAAAAAGCAGACGGTGTGTGAAATCGATATATTTGTCCTGTTATGTAACCGGCTGTGGACTGTGATGCTCAGGGTCAGCATTCAGTCACACAGGGACACGTTCAGGGTTTGTGGTTTTTTCACCAGGTTTATGGGCCAACAGATGACAATGGTGTGTCTGATAACATAGTTCTAGTTTCAGATTGATATGCTTTTATAAATGAGGGATTTTAAAAAGATACTGAGTTTGAGATTCTGAACACCATAACACACTTAACACTGCAGTCCTTAATAACCCCTTTACTAACCATAACCCACACTCAGAGTAAATAATAACCACTGTACTAAACATAACCCAGACTCAGAGTAAATAATAACCCGTATTAAACATAACCCACACTCAGAGTAAATAATAACCTCGTACTAAACATAACCCTCTCTCAGAGTAAATAATAACCCCTGTACTAAACATAACCCACACTCAGAGTAAATAATAACCCTCGTACTAAACATAACCCACACTCAGAGTAAATAATAACCCCTGTACTAAACATAACCCACACTCAGAGTAAATAATAACCCCGTACTAAACATAACCCACACTCAGAGTAAATAATAACCCCGTACTAAACATAACCCAGACTCAGAGTAAATAATAACCACTGTACTAACCATAACCCACACTCAGAGTAAATAATAACCCCGTACTAAACATAACCCACACGCAGAGTAAATAATAACCCCGTACTAAACATAACCCACACTCAGAGTAAATAATAACCCCGTACTAAACAAACCCACACTCAGAGTAAATAATAACCCCGTACTAAACATAACCCACACTCAGAGTAAATAATAACCCCGTACTAAACATAACCCACACTCAGAGTAAATAATAACCCCGTACTAAACATAACCCACACTCAGAGTAAATAATAACCCCGTACTAAACATAACCCACACTCAGAGTAAATAATAACCCCTGTACTAAACATAACCCACACTCAGAGTAAATAATAACCCGTATTAAACATAACCCACACTCAGATTAAATAATAACCCCGTACTAAACATAACCCACACTCAGAGTAAATAATAACCCCGTACTAAACATAACCCAGACTCAGAGTAAATAATAACCCCGTACTAAACATAACCCACACTCAGAGTAAATAATAACCCCTGTACTAAACATAACCCACACTCAGAGCAAATAATAACCCCGTACTAAACATAACCCACACTCATTGTAGTGTAACCCAGACTCAGAGTAAATAATAACCCCTGTACTAAACATAACCCACACTCAGAGTAAATAATAACCCCTTTACTAAACATAACCCACACTCAGAGTAAATAATAACCACTGTACTAAACATAACCCACACTCAGAGTAAATAATAACCCCGTACTAAACATAACCCACACTCAGAGTAAATAATAACCCCGTACTAAACATAACCCACACTCAGAGCAAATAATAACCCCCGTACTAAACATAACCCTCTCTCAGAGTAAATAATAACCCCTGTACTAAACATAACCCACACTCAGAGTAAATAATAACCCTCGTACTAAACATAACCCACACTCAGAGTAAATAATAACCCCCGTACTAAACATAACCCACACTCAGAGTAAATAATAACCCCGTACTAAACATAACCCACACTCAGAGTAAATAATAACCCCGTACTAAACATAACCCACACTCAGAGTAAATAATAACCCCCGTACTAAACATAACCCACACTCAGAGTAAATAATAACCCCGTACTAAACATAACCCACACTCAGAGTAAATAATAACCCCGTACTAAACATAACCCACACTCAGAGTAAATAATAACCCTCGTACTAAACATAACCCACACTCAGAGTAAATAATAACCCCCGTACTAAACATAACCCACACTCAGAGTAAATAATAACCCCGTACTAAACATAACCCACACTCAGAGTAAATAATAACCCCGTACTAAACATAACCCACACTCAGAGTAAATAATAACCACTGTACTAACCATAACCCACACTCAGAGTAAATAATAACCACTGTACTAACCATAACCCACACTCAGAGTAAATAATAACCCCGTACTAAACATAACCCACACTCAGAGTAAATAATAACCCCTGTACTAAACATAACCCACACTCAGAGTAAATAATAACCACTGTACTAACCATAACCCACACTCAGAGTAAATAATAACCCTGTACTAAACATAACCCACACTCAGAGTAAATAATAACCCCGTACTAAACATAACCCACACTCAGAGTAAATAATAACCACTGTACTAAACATAACCCACACTCAGAGCAAATAATAACCCCCGTACTAAACATAACCCACACTCAGAGTAAATAATAACCACTGTACTAACCATAACCCACACTCAGAGTAAATAATAACCCCTGTACTAAACATAACCCACACTCAGAGTAAATAATAACCCCTGTACTAAACATAACCCACACTCAGAGCAAATAATAACCCCGTACTAAACATAACCCACACTCAGAGCAAATAATAACCCCTGTACTAAACATAACCCACACTCAGAGTAAATAATAACCCCGTACTAAACATAACCCACACTCAGAGTAAATAATAACCCCGTACTAAACATAACCCACACTCAGAGCAAATAATAACCCCCGTACTAAACATAACCCTCTCTCAGAGTAAATAATAACCCCTGTACTAAACATAACCCACACTCAGAGTAAATAATAACCCTCGTACTAAACATAACCCACACTCAGAGTAAATAATAACCCCCGTACTAAACATAACCCACACTCAGAGTAAATAATAACCCCGTACTAAACATAACCCACACTCAGAGTAAATAATAACCCCGTACTAAACATTACCCACACTCAGAGTAAATAATAACCCTCGTACTAAACATAACCCACACTCAGAGTAAATAATAACCCCCGTACTAAACATAACCCACACTCAGAGTAAATAATAACCCCTGTACTAAACATAACCCACACTCAGAGCAAATAATAACCCCGTACTAAACATAACCCACACTCATTGTAGTGTAACCCAGACTCAGAGTAAATAATAACCCCTGTACTAAACATAACCCACACTCAGAGTAAATAATAACCCCTTTACTAAACATAACCCACACTCAGAGTAAATAATAACCACTGTACTAAACATAACCCACACTCAGAGTAAATAATAACCCCGTACTAAACATAACCCACACTCAGAGTAAATAATAACCCCGTACTAAACATAACCCACACTCAGAGCAAATAATAACCCCCGTACTAAACATAACCCTCTCTCAGAGTAAATAATAACCCCTGTACTAAACATAACCCACACTCAGAGTAAATAATAACCCTCGTACTAAACATAACCCACACTCAGAGTAAATAATAACCCCCGTACTAAACATAACCCACACTCAGAGTAAATAATAACCCCGTACTAAACATAACCCACACTCAGAGTAAATAATAACCCCGTACTAAACATAACCCACACTCAGAGTAAATAATAACCCCCGTACTAAACATAACCCACACTCAGAGTAAATAATAACCCCGTACTAAACATAACCCACACTCAGAGTAAATAATAACCCCGTACTAAACATAACCCACACTCAGAGTAAATAATAACCCTCGTACTAAACATAACCCACACTCAGAGTAAATAATAACCCCCGTACTAAACATAACCCACACTCAGAGTAAATAATAACCCCGTACTAAACATAACCCACACTCAGAGTAAATAATAACCCCGTACTAAACATAACCCACACTCAGAGTAAATAATAACCACTGTACTAACCATAACCCACACTCAGAGTAAATAATAACCACTGTACTAACCATAACCCACACTCAGAGTAAATAATAACCCCGTACTAAACATAACCCACACTCAGAGTAAATAATAACCCCTGTACTAAACATAACCCACACTCAGAGTAAATAATAACCACTGTACTAACCATAACCCACACTCAGAGTAAATAATAACCCTGTACTAAACATAAC